ACCTTGATGACGCGCTGCGGTGTGTGTGTCACCTTGTATCGCGACGACCAGCAAAGGGGGGACACCCCGCGCGCACCTAGGGCGATATTACGCGCCGCGGATGGTAATTAATGAAATCTGTGCACGCGGAGATCCGCTTCGACGCCGGCGTCCAAGAATAAATTCAACACGCACACGTTCGGCTTTTAATAATAGACTGTAAATCGTACTGATCTCGTTTCTAGATTTACGGCCGCGATTTGGCGAACCGGCGCGATCATTTTCGCCATACAGTGACCTGTATATGTGTGTGTGTGTGAAAAGATCCGCGAAAATTGTTGTGTTGTCGAAGGTATTCGAATCACTTAGAGTGATTAATTAAATCTGAAAAACGCAGTTGTTGAATCACTCGTATAATATTGACTGTATTGTATATGTACGTAGAAATTTTTTGTAGCTTTTGAAAAACTCTCCAAACATTCGCTCGCGACTTTCGAACAACTCGTCGAGTTTTAATCGAGCAAATCGTCTTCTCCAAGGGCCCGATACGCACCTTGTGTCACGTATTCTATACGACACGATGCATCTCACATTCCATATATGTATTATTGTCAGAATCATTATAGCACATAATCTAACGCGTGCAGTCGCTCGACCATCATTCGCTCACCGCGCCACGCCACGTCCGCAGGTCATACACTTCGCTACAGAGACTAATCTAATCCATACTCGTCACTATACCACGATGTTCAATAACCATTTCTTAAGCCTTTGCACTCCAAACTATCTTTCAATTTTATTTTTTTTGGCAATTTGAAAATATCAAGTGTGACTCAACGTAAGAGTTGACAAAAATTGACAAAGGAGTGCAAAGGGTTAATCCATCTTAACATCTGTTAAATTTAATGTATCGTCAACAAATCGCGTGTTACTCTTCATTGAAATTGCTTGTTCAGTCAATTGAAAGAATATTTAATATATAAATTTTCAGAGATATTAATTTCACAAAACATCATCTATCACTCACATTTTTCTCTCATAAAAATTCTCGCGTGTGCTAGTGACACTATCGCAATCTCTTTGGCAGAACTTGGAGAAAAAAATAAAAAAAGAATAAAAAAAAAAAGGAAGGAACAGAAGAGAAGAACTGGAAACTAACAACGCGAACATCCTGTACGCATGATTTTTTCCTCAGAGGATTTTTTGCTCTCTGTTCGGGTCTGTTTAACTTGGTTCAACATGGATCTTCATTGGAATCACAGACGCCGGGATGCTTTTGAAAATATCGTCCCGATTTTGCGTAACTTTCTTCGCTTGGTGGACGTTCGAGTTCGTTGCCAAAGGAGATCTCCAAGTATTCTAGGTCTTTGGAGCCGCGAACGACTGAAAGCTGGCCGAAGCCAAACCAAGGAATCAGGTTAAGGGAGATACGAAAAATTGACGAAAATTTCAGCCAAGTGTAATGGTAAATACTGACTGTAAAAAACGGTCCCGATAAATGGCATTAATCCAGACAACAAATCCCCGTGTTTAGTTTCCTAGTTCCATCTCATTTATTTCTCGTTCGCGAGAATTCTCCATTTTTCGTAATCGATCTTCGTGACTTAAACGATCGATTTTTAACATTAGACCGCGATGCAAAGATGTATGCATAATGTCAAGAATGAAATATATGCATATAATATGCAAACATATTCTTACTCGGAATAAAACGTCGATCTCTACTCAGACTTTGTTCCTTGAATCGTACTAGAGAAAGAGAGAGAGAGAGAGAGAGAGAGAGAAAAA